GGGGGGGGGCGGAATTCTAAGACTAGTGTTAAAGAACTCTCAGAAGAGGAGGTCTCTGTAGACACTCTGAAATCTTGAAAGGAGCAATGAGAGCCCGATTGGGGAAAACAATTGGCACTCAAGGGGCCAGGATACCCACACTGGCAGGGCAGGAAGAAGGCTCTGAAAAGGTCAGAATGAATGTCGCATTTGCCTGAGCTGCCAACTCTAACGTGCTTTGGGCTGGCTTAGCTCACACACAAATGTGTGGGAAGGTCCCTCAGACAAGCATTCACCTAGGAGCGTCCTGAGGGAAGAACCTGTATACAACATCCAGCACCCAGCCCTAGGCAGGCCCAGAGGAGAGGGTCAGGGATTATGAAAGAGTGAGAAAAAGAACTAAAGAAGCTTCTAGCACCATCTGAGAAAGATCTGGAAACTGTGGAAACTCAAGCTGTTTTCTGATGCCTTGGCTTCCTTATAGCTGACTTTTGATTTTCATGAATTTCTGCATTGCCTGAAGGGGATTAACAGAAGACTCGGTTTATTTGCAGACAAAAAGGGAGAAAGAAACAGCTACAACCAGCATAGCTTGGGGTTCAGGCTAATGCCTAAAATCAATAGGGAGCTGGCCCTAGACTTCGAAGTGATGCTGGAGGCACCCGTTAAGTTTCTTCTTTTTCCCCTCTGCTCAAAGCCCCACTCTGGGTCCCTCACTTACTTAGTCTCTTTTCTTCCAACAGGCTCCTCCTCTGCATCATCAGTGTCCCTGCTTTCATACCGTATGGGGATGTCTGTGGCCAGTGCCAAGGGCAGGAGGCTAAGGCCATCTAGCCACCAGGTCTCTTTCAGGGCCACCTGGGCACCAACAATACCCAGGCTGCGCTGTAGCTCTGGCAGTGTCAGTGGTCGCAGCCATGTAGCCAACTCCTCCCCCACGTGCTGCCCACCCCAGCGGGCCTGCACAAAAGGGCAGGCTGGGTGTGGGAGCCTGTGACGGAACTTCTGCTTCTGGGAACAGCACTCAGTATGTGAGGCACTCTCTAACAAAGAGGTGTCTGGGGGAAAGGCCTGCTCTATGGCATCTAGCAGGTCCAGCTGGAGCTGGGATTGGACCCAGGGTGCCCAGTGGGACAGCTGCTCCAGGAAGGGCAGCAAATCAAGGTGACCAACAAGCAGCACACGATATGGAGGCAGCAGATGCAGCACTGCATGCAGGTAGTGCCAAGCTGCAGGGCTGCCATCCTGCAGGACAGCTGAGAACAGAGTTTGGAGCTCAGCTACCAGGAGCTCCAGCGCTGTGGGCTGCTCTGACTGGCTCACTGCCTTTGGGGACTGTCTCTGTGTCCTCTGACGGTCCTGGAGCTGCTCTTCCATGTCTGGAACACAGACGGAGTGCTGAGATTCAAGGGCTTCAGGTGATGCCTCTTCAGGAGACAAGTCCACCTTTGGCTCCGAGACCAAGAGGAGCTGGGCATTCAGCTGCTGTCGAACTGACCTTGCCCACTGTTCAGGTTCTGACTGCCAGTTCCAGGCTCCTGGCTGCTGGGTCTCACCTGCTTGGCCCAGCCCAGAACAGGGGTGAGAGAAGGGGCCTTAGGTTCTGGGCTAGGAATGTCAGGGTCTAAGGGGCTGGGGGACAGGGGAGGGGAGGGACTTAGGACAGGGAAATGGATGGAGCTGCAGGGCAGCTGCAGGGCAGAGCCAGAACAGCAGAGGACAACAGTTTCCCCAATGACTCTGGTAAGAAGCAGGCCCAAGACAAAGGCAGGGGCCCTCTCTGCACAAGAGTTCCTTCCCACCACCCAGGACACAGTCCCCCTCACCTGGTGTAAGGGGTACAGGAGGCAATGGAAGGGAAGAGAGACTGATGTGCTGGTAAGGTTTCATCCCAACTGCCTGTTGGAGAAACTGGTGAACCAAGACTTGGGTCCCAAGCACAGGCTCACTCTACTCACAGCTGCCCATACAGAGAGACTGGCACATGGAGGAGTGATCACTTGCACAAACTGATGCACACTTGGAAAGGGCTCACTCAGAGAACTTTGGTAACAGCAAGGAACGTCACTGGGAGTGGAGCCCAGGGATGGCCTGAAGGAAGGAACAGGTAGTCACTCTGTGGCAACAAAGCCCCAGTCCTGTCTGAACATGGGCTGAGGGGGGCTCTTGGGAACAGAAAGCACAGAGAACTACATGGTTCAGATGAGGTTGGGGGAGTGTAGAGAGGAAAAAGTGGCAAAGGACCAAGCTGGAAGGAGGAGGAGGAGAAGGAGGAAGGGGAGGAGGAAGAGGAATAGGAGGAGGAAAAGGAAGGAGAGAGAGAAGGGGAGAAGAAGAGGGGGAGGGGCAGGGGGTCCCTGGGAGTGTGGGAGGAGGGGAACTTCCTGGGGGCAGTGGCAAGGAAGGTCTGAGGGCAAAGGGAAGAGGATTATAAGCTGGAGACTCACCCGCAGCTCCATCCTCTCCCAGCTGTTAGAACCGTTACAGGGTCCCTAAAGGCCCGAGCCTTCACCCCAGAATTCCGGAACCCTCAGAAACCGGAAAGGGGAGGAGTCAGCATCCGTGCTGGTCCGGGGTCGCACAAGGGCAGGGCGAGGGGCTAGGGCGAGGACAGGGAAGCTGAAGCACTGCGGCCCAGACCAAACCTGCTGGCTGCCCACACGCTTTGAGAATAGGTGATCAGTCTGGCTGGGTCTGAAAAAGAAATGACATGGTGATTTGGGGAAGTAGCAACCGTGAGGGCGTCGTGGGAAAGTATGATCCCTGTGCCTATTTATGCATTCACTGAACGTCTTAGCTGGCACCAAGTACCAGCAAGTTATGTCTTTGGGACCCTACCTGCACCCCATCCACATATCCACCAACCCTACCTTACCACCTCCCCCACAAGCAAACCCCTAATAAGACAAAATCCTTGATCATAAGAAGTCCAAAATGGGGTGTGGGAAGGTCTGAATGATTTAAGGAAAGAAGGAAGGAAGGAAGGAAGGAAGGAAGGAAGGAAGGAAGGAAGGAAGGAAAAGAAAGAAAGAAAGAAAGAAAGAAAGAAAGAAAGAAAGAAAGAAAGAAAGAAAGAAAGAAAGAAAGAAAAAGAAAGAAAGAAAATTCAGCATATGACACAGTCCCACCTCTGCCCTGCAATCCAGATTTGTACGTCCATCTGCTCCTTAATGGCTCTACTTGGATATCTGATAAATAACATAAACTTAAAATCTTAAAATGTCCAAACCAGACTTCTAACTACCACCTCCCTCCCGGTGGCAAAAGAAACCTACTCCTTTCACCGCCTCCCCCAAAATGACAAGTCCATTTTTCCAGTTGCTTGGGTCAATACCTTGAAATCACCTTAGATTTCTCTTTCCATCCCTCTCTTCCCACCTCAGCCTACCTTCCATGTTGAATCCTTTGGCAAATTCTGTTGGCTATAGCTTCAAAATCTATCCAGGATCCAACAATTCCTCACCACTTTAAGTGCCACAACCTTAGTCTGTGTCACTATCACTTCTCACCTGGATTATTCCATAGCCTTCTAACTGGACTCCCTCCTTCGACCCTTGTCCCCACAATCTGTTCTTTTCAGAGCAGCCAGTGACCCTTTTCACAGGGCAGCTCTTGTCACTCCTCTGCTTAAAACTAATGCCCTATCATCTCATTCCCTCCGGTGAAAGCCAAAGTCCTACATGGCCTACAAGTTGCTATGTGATCAGCCACCTACTATCTCTCCTTCTCTCCTATTCTCTCTCCTCATCCACTCCACTCGAGCTGTGCTTGGATAACACCGAGGATGCTCCCATCTCAGAGCCTATGTATCAATTACTCTGCTTGTGTATCTATTAGGAGACATACAAGGTTTCATACAAGTTTTCTGTGCCTGTGTAACAAATTACCACAACCTAAGTAGCTTAGAAACAAATACCCGTTTAGTACCTTGTAGTTCTGCAGATCCATGTTTAGCATGGCTTGGCTGGGTTCTTTGCTCAGAGTATCAGAAACCTGAAATCTAAGAGTTGGCTGGGCTGAGTTCTCATCTGAAAGCTCTGGGGGAAAATTCTTTTCCAAGCTCATTCTTGCTGGCAGGATGCAGATCCTCACAGTTGTAAGACTAGGTCCCAATTTCCTTTCTGGCCATCAGTCGGGGACCATATTCAGGTCCTAGAGGCCACCTTCCTTCCTTGCCATGTGATTCATCCACCTTCAGGCCAGCAACCATGTCTCAAACTCTTTGCAAGCTTGGAATCTTTCTGAATCCAGCCAGAGAAATCTCCCTGCTTTTAAAAAGTCCATGTGGTTAGGTCAGACCCACCCAGATAATATTGCTTTCTTACAGTCAAGTCTGCCATATAAGCTGTCATATTCATAGTCCTAGCGATTATGTAGGATATGCACACAGGGAGTGGGAAATTCAGGACCATCTTAAAATTCTGCCAACCACATATGTTGTAACAACAAAAGGACCCCAAAATACAGTGGTTTAAACCATATGGAAGTTTTTTTTCCCTCTTACATAACTGCCCAAGTATAAATACTTGAGGGCTAACGTGACAGCCTTTCAGTTGTTCTACTTTCTCCAAGAAGGTGGTCCTTGTCTTCCATGTCCAAGAGAGTTCACCACCATGCTGCTAGGTCCCATCACAGTCCGTGGAGGAAAAATTAGGAGCCACACCCTTACTTTTTTTAATAATTTTTTTCATGTTTATTTATTTTGAGAGTGAGAGAGAGAGAGAGAGAGAGAGAGCAAGTAAGGGAGGGGCAGTGAGAGAGAAAGAGGGAGAATTGCAAGCAGGCCCCACAATGTCAGTGCAGAGCCTAATGCAGGGCTCAATCTTATGAACTGTGAGATAGTGACCTGAGCCAAAAATCAAGAGTTGGACACTTAACAGACTGAGCCACCCAGGCACCCAAGTAGGGGGCACACCTTTACTTTTAAGGGCACAATCTGGCAATGCACACATCACTCAAACACATGGGCACACCCAGCTGCAAGGAAAGCTGTAAAATCTGATCTTTATTTCCAGTGGCCATGTGCCCAGATAAAAGTCAAGAGTCAATTAGTAAAGAAAAAAGGAGACAATGGATACTGAGGGACAATGAGAGGCTTATACCACAAGGAGCACTCTTCCAGATGTCCCCAAGGCTTATTCCCTCATTTCAAGTCTCTGTTCAGAGACCTTATCAATGAGTTCTTTGACTATCCAGCATAAAATAACAACACTGTTCCTACTTTCCTTACCCTTTCTACCCTGCATTATTTTTCTCCACAGCACTTAGTACCATCTCATGTAAATACTTATTTGCTTACTGCCTATTTCCCTTGACCAGAAACATAAGTTCCGTGGTGGCAGAGATTTTGATTGCTCTCTGTTGCATCCCCATTCCCTGGTGCTGGCACCATGAGTAGGTGATCAGAAAATATTTATGGAACAAATGCATAAATGTATAGCAGTCTTCACTGATGAGAAAGGGGATCACCTCTGGAGTCAGACTGTCTGGATCGAAAACCTGACTGTACCACTCACTAGTTGTACGGTATTTTGCCTCCATTTCAATTAAAAAAATTTTTTTAATGTTTATTTTTGAGAGAGAGAGAGAGACAGAGTGTGAATGGGCAAGGGGTAGAGAGAGAGGGAGATACAGAATCCGAAGCAGGCCCCAGGCTCCGAGCTGTCAGCACAGAATCTAACATGGGGCTCAAACTCATGAGAGATCATGATCTGAGCCAAAGTCAGACACTTAACCAACTGAGCCACCCAGGCACCCCATCAAAAATTTTTTTAGAAATAAAATGAAGGTAATAACAGCATTTACCTAACAGGGTTGCTGTGAGGATTAAATGAGTTAATGTACGTAAAATGCCTAGAATAAAGCTCAGTGAAGCTATGTGTTTTTGTTGTTTGTGGCACTCTACCAAGTGCTGTTTAGGTAAAGGTGGACAAGACATAATAGTGTTCAGTAAGGGCAGCAGTTCTTCCTGGAAAGGGCAAAGAAGAGTCCCAGAGTCACAGCAGGCCTTGAAATTCATGGCCCTAAAACAATGGTTTTCCAGACAGACAAGGACAGAAGAAAATCATGTTCAGTGGCCTCTACTGAGCCCTCAACACTGCCTAAAAATTGAATTATAGTTTTACTGTCAGTCTACTCTTCCATTCTGTGAAAATTCTATTTCATACTTGTACTCTTTCATCTTCCATTTTCTTGTTTTACTCTCCAATGATAACTTCATCTCCTATTAAAAAAAAAATTAGATGCTGTTTCAGAGTTCTTCAGAGAAACAGAAACAATAGGATACACACACACACACACACACACACACACACACACA